TAAATAATACAAGCACGGTAGCAAACCATTTGATTTGCTTACTTGAAAAATAATCAAAGCAATGGTTAACACAAAGCATAATGAAGCGATATCATTTATTAAAAAGTCGAATCTACTGGGCGATCAATGATGAAACAACCGCTGGCAAAATTTCGATTAAACAGTTACTCACATGCCAGTTGGAATCTGCTGACCGAAAATACTGGATGGTTCCGTTCGGCCTGGTTTATTACTAGCATCATAACGTTCCTTAAGTCGCTTGAAAGTGTTTACATAGGTGATCTTGTTTAAAACCTCCCAATGTTCATTCACAGCGTAATTTATAAGCGACGTGATATCCTCCATGAGAATGTACTCAAACAATTCAACGATGGCTGAGTCGATCATGTTATATCGATGCCCATTAGTAGCAAATAGCTCTATCACTGGCTTAAACAAACTGTTTTTGATAAGGTACCGATTGTAGAATTCTTCCTTCAACTGAATCATCTTGCGCAGTAATCGCAGAGCACCTAACAGGAAACTCATTATTACCAAAATAACTTACTTAGCACCAGAAACTTGTGTGTTGAACGTAGAAGAACCAAAACACGTTTTACGAGATCCCGGTGAAGGCAATAATTTTTCATGTGGTAAGTGTGGGTTTCGATGCAAAATATCAACAAGTCCAAGACATTGCTCAAAACAAGTGCAGAATGATAGTTGTCTATCAGGTTAACATTACGAAAAAGGGCTTACCACAATTAATCGTGCCATGGGCAGTATTATCGAACAATGGTTTTGTCAGCGTGCCTATGCAACGTTTGTAGAAGAAGCTCAGAAACTCTGACTTCTCACTTCTCTGTGAAAGTAAACTACTTTGTTAAAAAACTGGAGGATATCAAGTGAGACACTCGTAACAATATAAAGACTGAAAATCCTAGGTGTCTGATATGAAATAAACGCACTTACAGCAGATGCGTTGTTCATATTATCGGGATCGATTAGAATACGCAGCATGTATCCCAGCTGATAGGCATCACCAAGTTCCGGATCAGGATCTTCTAGGAGCTGCGCAATCATCAAATTTATCAAAATGTTCTCGTCTCGATGTTGTCTAGCACCCTCCTTACACACGTGTTCGCGTACTATTGACGGCTGATTTTCAACGAAGGCCTGAAGAATCACCAGAGCGGCTGACTTGATGTCATGGTCGCTATTGGAAAGAAGTACCTCTACAGTGGAAAGAGCCCCATGAGCGGACAAGGTAGCCAGGAACGCCTCCTTCTGATCGGTCTGTACAGAGAGATTGCAAAACTCCTTCACAAAGAGGGCCAGTTCGCGCCGATGGGAGTCTGAAGTGTCGGCAGACTTAAGGCATGTGAACAACCTTAGCATAATTTCTCGATCTTCCTGCAAAGCACTTAGAATCTCCATTTTATTGGACGAAATGAACGACTTCAGATCTGACATGGACTGTTCATCAAAGAGACTTGGCGGCGGCAAACAACAATCCTGAATGTACTGCACTCGATAGGTTTGGTGAATTTTATTTATGAGCTTTGAGTTGTGGAGTGGCAATACCTCCCTGAAGTTCGCCTGATTTCTCAAGAAATCCCGATGTCGAGTCCGACCTCCTGGATTGTACTCCAAGATACCGATAACGTCCAATATAACATCGTCGGAAAAAAGTGTTTCGTAGAGAACTTGCTTATTAAACAGGATGAGCTGCCTGAAAATCTCGTATAAAAAATGCAATGAAGTCAAATCCTCCAGATCCTCAGCTTTGTGGAAAAGATCAATTAATTGTCTGATATAATTGCTACGGTCAACAGCCGCAACAAGGCGCTCACGCTTCTGAAGAAGGTTCAAGTGTGTACTAAATACTTCCGCGATCTCTTCTAGTCGTGAGAGTTCACAAGGAGGAAGCTCAAATGTTTGTAGAGCTTGATTGGTAGCTAATGAATAGGCCTCGACATCATCAGTGTCGTCGGATTCATCCACGACTTCTTGAGTAATCTCAACCGAAGGATCCTTGCCCTGCACAGAACAGATCTTCTCCCATATGTCATCACACCCAGCCTTTTCTTGGAAAGAAAGAGCAAGATCGACATTCTCGCCTTCTGACCAAACTATAAGTGTCTCCTGCTGCTTCTGATAAGCGGTCTCCGGCTGAATCTTGGATTCCAGAAGAGGAGACCCGTCATTTTCCGAAATAACGACAAGACAGATGCAACTAGCATCGTTGTAGAGAGCAGAAACATGGCCAGTTCCTTTATCGTCCCACTGCCGCTCTTCGTTTAACATATAAAGCTTCACACGCCTACGCGTAGTAGCTTCCGAAGAAGACATTCCAACTGAAAAATTAAGGAGGATAAGTACCCCACCTAAGGCACAAAATCGTTGAGCTCCTGCTACCTAAACTTAGTCACAACGGGAGCAAAATACTCATTCTGCCGACCCAAATATGTTAGGACGAAGCTAAATAATTGCCAATGAGAAGTAGACAGAAGAAACTTTTCCTAGCAAGATAGACACACTCAGGAACAATCTCAGAAGCAAGCACCAAAAAGAACGTCAGTTACATCAAAACGCTACCATCAGAATAGGAATAGCTACATGAGAATCTAAACAAGCACAAACCCGACACAACTACGATCCCAAGTGAGCATCCATTTAGTTTCTGCATGCGCTTAAACAAGTTACTGAAAAACTTGAGGTGGACAAATATCGAACACACCTTTTAAATTTAAGGTACCAGAAACTAAACTCCTCAAACTAATATTATTTGGCGTGTACACGATACTTTAGTTTTGTATTTAG